TGATACCTTATTTCACAAACATTTTGTTTGCAACTAATCTTGTTTGTACATAGAAACATTTGGCAAAATTTTGTTTTTGTTTATAAACTCTATTGGGAGATGAACAGGACCGTGGCCATCTTCCCCCCACATGCACACACAAGCCTAATTATCCTTTCCAAAATTGTAGAACAAAGTAAGTTCTTGATCTGAGGTATCACTGTCTGTGTACTAGTACTGTGTCTCTTCCTAGAGCACCTACTTCAGGGTCGATGGCATTATAAGTAAAAGCTATGAAATTCTCCAGGTATAAAAAGGAGCAAATAACTTATAATTTAAAATCTCCTTGTATTAGTACTCCTTCGCTTCCTCTCAAACTTTCCTTTAGTAAGATGTGGTAGCTCATACCATTAACTTCAGTACAAAAGATCTTTCAAAATATTCTCCTCTGTCTTTCAGCTCTGACTTTACTTGCTGTACTGGCTATTTTATCTTCTATTTTAGGTTTTCATCACTTACGATTTTATTAGTTTATTGGGTGATTATCACACTTGTCCTCCATTGAGCTTTGTTTTCTCAAATATTATATATTTGATAGCAGCTATACTGAATGAAATGAACATTGAAATATGACTTTTGATTTCCTGAGATCCACTCAATAATTAGGTATGAGAGGGGATAGTTATTACCAGCTATCACAGGTTCAGCTATCTAAGCACTGTCTGATCACTGAAAGCTGGCTGTATGTTCAATAAAATGAAACAGAAAGATGGCAAGCTAGCCTGCGCAGTGGACTGCTACAAATCTGTACTGAAGCTTTGAATTCATAAATCTTGCATTATTGCCTTTTTATTCCATTCTCTCCTCTCTCCATAATCTTGTTAGAGGTGCACCTGGGATGTACATAATGCGTGTGTATCACGTTTTGACCCTTGTGATTGTGCTTGCTGGGGCGGGCATTGTCAGACATGCCTTAGTCAGTTATAGCTCTGGCTTGCAGTGATCAGAAACGCAGCTCAAGGTGGCTGCTCGAGTTTTGCATCTGCAGTGTCCTTGAAACCGTCAGGCTGCTAGAGGTGGGGCTGTTAGGGTAGTTGGATCATGGGAACTTTGCACTGATTTGTGGATTCATCCCCTGTGAAGTAGAGGCTGAGTGTGTTGTTTGCAGTTGGATGGCTGAGGAACATCTGGAGGAGCTGTCGCCCTTCCTGCCCGCCCTCCCTTCTACTTCCTGCCATGATACGAGTAGCTTTTCCTCTGCTGGGCCCTTCCACTGTGCCATTCTTGCCTTGGAGCCAGTCGGTTGAAGAGCTCTGAAAACATAAGCCCAAATAAGTCTCTTCGTCTTTAAGTTATAGGTGTCTTGGTATCAAATAAAGTGACTTAGAGATTGGCCAAGGCAAAAAAAAGTATATATATATATATATGTCTTACATTACTAAAAGGTATTAAACTGGTTTCTATCTCAGCTGATTACAAGGAATTTGGAAGATGTCCCAAAGACATTTTTATTTAAACATGTATAATTATATATAACGTATTCTGGTTTATTAAACTGTATACCCATATGGCCAAGTTTCTGTATATTCTTTATGCCTATTTCATGTTCCAACATCAGAACTGAGACCTTCTGGCTTGTCAAGGCTGCCATAATTGCCACCTCTACCTTTACAGACAACTTTCTGAAAGTCTTGTCCAACCTCAGTTTGAATATCCTTTGTTGACAAAAACATTTTTACAGAAAGAACTATTCTGTATAAGCTCTACTTATCAATACACAACAGCATTACTTGCATGGGCCATTAATTTTACTCAAGTGTAAAATCATAACCCACTTAAAGTATTTCAGTTAAGCCCTCCTGGATACACCTAAGCTGTGCCGAATTAGACTGAAGAACCCTTATGTATAAATAACTGTAATCTGTGTTCCTTTGGTTGACCAGAAAGTTAGGGCTGTGCCCCATTAATAATTTCATCAAAAATCATACTGCTGTATGCATGTTGTAATCATTTGTTAATTGTGTCAGTACTTGACTGATAACTATGACATTGAGTTTATTTTTGTTGAAAATTATATAATGCAGTTGTTTAACATGTTGGTGCTATATAAATCTGTTCCTCATCCTGTGAAAATATATAAGATAGCTATATTTTATATATTATATTTATATTCTTAGAATTAGTTATTTTATATTTTTAGTGAAAATTTTAGGGAGGCCTATGGGAAATGGGCTATTATAGTATATATTATACCTCCTTAGATTTTTCTCCCTATTATTTTATTACTGTTTATAGACAAGTTTGCCTTTCTGCTCTTCATTTCTTCTCAGTATGTTTACTCTTTCTTTAACCAATTTTTGAGTCCCTACTATACTATTTTTTCCTCTGTTCATGTTGCTAAACTCCAACCACTAATACAAATACAATATGAAGCAAAAGTGAGCAACGCATTTTTTTTATTTTTTATTTTTTATTTATTTTTTTATTTTTCAACAAATAATACACTGCATATGTTCTTCTTAATGGTTAATTGCTGTACAAGATGTGGACTTGTGATCTTATTTACAAACACCATTAGAACAAATCATTCTATTCATTAACAGAATGTAACTATATATCTATCCCAACCACTTTGAATACACAGATACAAAATGGACACTCATCTGTATCCCCTTTTTTTGTTAAGTTCCGTTATTTGAATATTATAGGTGTGTAAACTCAGCAAAATATTCTAAAAGAGTCCAGTAGCCCATAATAGCATTGGGTCTTCTGTTTAACTGGCAATGTCAGAAATTATTGACCTGAGTCCCCCACAGCTCAACTTAACAGCATGGCTTTATTTCTTATAATTTCGTCTTCATACTTTTCTGCTGGATGGTTAAGGCCAAGGTAAAGCAGGACCTGTGACAAGAGTTGTAGCTTTTTGGTCTGAGAAGGTCAGTGAAATGCCCTCAGGATTTATCCTGAGATACTGTACCTCAGATTGTAGAACCTTTATCAGTGCAGCCATGTGGATGAGTCACGGCCAATGCTTGGCCAATGTGCTCTCTGTGAAAGCCTGAGAGAGTATCTTCTCCCCATGTGACTCTCCTTAGGCCCACTCTATGTCATCGGAGCAACGCATTTTTAAAAGTAGAAACAGCAACTGAAATTTTAGTAATACATTTTATTTTATTCAAAACATTAGCATTTCAACATTTGATTGGTGTAAAAATTATTTCATTTTTGAAATTCCTTGTGTGTTTTCCATCTACAGCACATCTCTGGGTCCATAAGACTTGAATTCTAGTTAAGACTGTGTGATTACTTTAATCAGACTTTTTTTTTTTTTTTTTTTAATTTAGGACAGGGTGTACAGGGTCGCACTGCATAGGTTGGACTTCTAGTGATCCTCCTGTTTACAGCCTCCCAAGTGCTGGGATTACAGGTGCGCACCACCGTGCCCAGTCTCCTTCATCATCTCAGTATGCCCCGGGGGCGGGGCTGGCACCGCACTCCTGGGGTGGAACTCCCCCGCCCGGTGTCTGGCTAAGCAGGTGCTTTAATCTGCTGAGCTATCTGGCTGACCTAATCAGACTTCTTACAGTTCCGGTGTATTAAGCTTTTTGTTTCCTTTTGATGTCATTTAAGCGAACTATCTCTTGAATGAACTTTGGGTGTTCTAGTTCACAAAGTGGCCAGGAAACAGGGTCTATTTGTCATGCCAACGTAATTGAAAATACAGAAACCCATGAAAAACTTTTAGTTATTTGCTGACTTTACTTGACCTAATACTGATAAATATTTGGCCACCAGGAAGCTTGTTTTAATAAATAGTACCGAAGGTTTACAGCCCAACTTGTATTTGACTCTGTTGCTCATTGACTTAAGGTGTTGTGTGAAATATTGTTGATTACATGCTCTGGCCCAAATAGGTCATTCTAATGATAATGTTAGATTTTTTTTCTCCTATAGATTTCAGTCTTGAGTTTGCAGCCAGATATTTAAGGGTGTATGTTTCAGTAGTGTTAATATTGTGATTTCAGTAACAGAAAAAAAAATGCCCACATTTAATCTCACACCCTAAATTTGTTTTTAAAAATAACTTAAATAATTTATATGTCAGTAAAATTCTTTAATGGCAATAACTGTGCTAAATCATATTATTAAATTATTATGCTAACTGATGCCACAGAGACAGTGCTGTAGACCATGTGAATATGGTGACCAGCGAAGGGCACACAGAGAAAGTTGGGGCACTGGCAATAAGAGAACGAGACTTCCCCAAGTGCTGGGATTATAGGCACATACCGCCACGCCCAGTCTCAGTCTCTGTCTCAGCATGCCCTGGGGGCTGGGCCGGGTGGGCAGGCCAGGAGATCAAACCCCTGGCCCCTGTGTCTGCCTGAACAGGTGCTGTAATCTGCTGAGCTATTTGGCTAGCCCAAGACTTCCCAAATTTATCTCTTGGCATTTTTTGACACTTTTAGAATATATTGAAATTTTGTTTTCTATTTGGAAAATAATCAACTAATCATTTAACATTTTTAAAATGGGATTCTTGAGGTTTTTTAACTTTAAAAATTTGAGAAACTTTAGAATTTCCATATACCATGTATTTACCTCTGATACAGATATAAAATGCACTGTCCTTCGTACAAGATGCTAAGGGTAGATTTCAGATGAGATGCCTACTTGCAGTATTAGCCGTAATTGCTTCTTTTCTCTTCTCTTTCTTAGCACTGGCCTTTCTGACTATCTTCTGTGTAGTGTCTGAGAGGCAGTGCTGTCTTGCCCTCTGCATTGGCTACCGGGTTGAGGAGTGCTTTTCAGTGTGGCCCTGCCTTTACCGTTCTCAGGTCCCACCTGTGTACCATGTTAAGTGCTGGGGATTTGCAGAATTCTCTTCCTGTTTTTGCAGGTCTGATATATTTGGCTTTTCATAAAGCTTTTAATACAGAATATTGTCATAACTTCTGAAGCATTTCAGCGTGACAGTGATTCGTATCACTTTTTAGTAAATACAACTTCACTTTTTCTAGAATTCAAATCTGATCCATCAGAAAGTACTTCCTCCAAGTGACCGACAAGGATCTCCAGTGTTGTCGTTCGTCATGCTAGAACAGTTCAGTGCCATTCGTTTAGTGCAGAGTGTCCACCAGTCTCTCGCTGCACTCAGCAAAGTCATCAGGGGAGCCACCTTGCTGAGCTCAGAGGTGCACAAGCTGGCGAGCGCCTTGCTAAACCAGAAGGTAAGCCGATGCCTACTGCGTGTGCATTCTCGTTGTTTAAGCAGCGGTTTCTGTGTGTATGTTTTCCAGGGATCTTACAGCTAATAGTAATGGAAACTAAACTCAAAGTAGTGGTGCACACCTGTAATCCCAGCACTTGGGAGGCTGAGGCAGGAGGATTGCTGCAAGTTCGAGACCATCCTGGGCTACAAAGTGAGTTCAAGGCCAGCCTGAACTGCATAGTGAGACTGTCCCAGACCCAGAAAAGGACTGGGGAGATAGCCCAGGGGTCTGTGTGCCTGCCTGGCAAGCACAAGGACCTGGGTTTGATCCCTGGTACTGCATGCTGTGGCAGCCTGCCCTGGGTGCACCAAGCCAGCCACCAAAACCAGGTGTGGTGTCGCATGCCTGTAATCCCAGCACTGAGGGAGCTGAAACAGGAAGATCACTACAAGTCTGAGCTACATAGCAAGACCCTGTACCAAATACATAAATAAAGATTTTTTAACAATTTTTAAAAGTCACTGCAGCCATCTAAGAATGAATTGGCTCAGGAAGCTGAAGAGTGTAGTGACGGCTACCATGAAATCAGCTTGCTACAGCCGCTTACAGTTGCCCTGAGAAGCTCAGTTTAGATTATCCAGCTATTTCTCCATGGCATAAGTAATTCAATCCATGTTTCTTCATTTGGGACAAATCCTCTGTCCATGGTGACACTCTGCAGGCCGGTCTTCCATCTGCTGAGCTCCAAGTCTAACAGAATTTCTATTTCCTGAGCAGTTCAGTAAAAGTCACAGGATTTGTTTTGATCCAGACCAACTGGATTGTGTGTTGTTTCTGTTCCTATGCTGATTCTGCGAGCAACGTGTACAAAACGTACTGAGGAGGACTTCAGCCAAGTAACTGCTCCAGGAGCAGGGAGCAGATTGGACTTGAACGCACATAGTAAGATTAAGGGAAGCATGATTGTCTAGTAGAAAATCAGGACATGTTTTGTAGAGGAAGAAAGCAACACTTCCTTGCTAAATAATTTCAAATGATAATGAGACATGCATAGTTCAGATCAACTAGGTAGAAATAAATAGGAGATGTCCTGCATAGATTGATGTTCAGTTGTTTGGAAAAGATAAATGTCACATAACTTGACATTTGAAAGTGATATTTTTGAGACTATATAAGAATTAAAACTTGCATTTTTGCTATTTATACCTCTATTAAGAAGATATCCAGGGCCAGCCAAAGTGCTCAGCAGATGAAAGTGCCTGCAAGCAGGCACAGGGCTGGGGTGTGCTGAGAGAGCAGTTGAGACTGGGCATGGTGGCACGCGCCTATAATCCCAGCTCTTGGGAGGCTGTAAACAGGCAGATCAGGGGCCGGGGAGGTGGTGTAGTAGAAAAAAACGCTTGCCCGGCAAGCACAACGGACTGAGTTCAATCCCCGGTTCCACCAAAATAAAAATAAAACAAAACAAAAAACCTAAACAGGCGGATCACTCTGAGTCCAATCTAGTAGTGAGACCCTGAACACTCTGTAGACCCTTCCCTCAAATACAAAAAAAAAAAAAAAAAAAAAAAAGATATCCAGGGCTTTTCTACATGTACAGAAAAAAACTTCTCTAGTATCCCAGTCTTCCTTTTTATCTTTATTGTATAAAAGAATGTTTTGCGTTGTATTTACCGAGTTAAATTTTTCCTTTGAATATGGACTAGTATATCTTTTAATCAACTGTCATTATCGGAATATTGTAAGTTCTATATTTTAATTATAAAGTATAACTGATTTGCTTTGTATTTGAACCACAAATATTTTCAGTCATAAAGTCATTGGTACAGTGAAAGAATCAGTGTGAAATAATTGGACTTACCTTCTGAGCACCTTGTATTAACTATGTAAGTGCCGGAACAGCACTAGGTGATACTGCTGCTGTTGGACTATTTTACTGTGAAGAACTTTAGGGAGAGTAGTTTTAACCATTTAACAGCTTCCCTGTGCATCACTCGGTGTCTCAGTTACTTTTCTGTCATTGTTGGAACAAAATACCCGACACCCGAATTAAGGAAGGAAGGTTTATTTAACTCAGTTTGAGGTTTCAGTCCCCCAGACTGGCGCCAAGGCAGGGTGCAGAGCGCAGCAGTTCGTGGCAACAGAAAGCAGCAAAACAGCAAGAGCGAAAAACGGAGAAGCAGCAGCAGCAGCGGTGGGGCTCTGCTTCCCTTCCGTTGCGTTCAGGCTGTCCGCCCAGCAAGGGCGCAGCACTCGACGCCTGTAATTCCAGCATTGTACACGAATTGATCACAAACGCTGCAGGCTGCCCCATGATCGCATGAGGCTCTGGGGGGACAACTAGACACAAACCATAACACTTGGGCAGAGCATTTGTTTACATACTCACCACCCCAAGTGGCACTTGGGTAGGTGTCATTTCAACCAGACCAGTCTTGTATTGATTAAATTTGATAAAATTGCCATTTTTATATTTCCTTTTATTTTGTAAAAATTAATGAAAAGGTTCAATTTTGGTCATTTTATATTTTTATCATTGGGCTGGTAAGTGGTCAATAACCGGTCATACCTCAAACATTGTGAAGATTTGAGTTTTGGCAGATCTTTTTGTCATAAGAAATGTAAATGGAGAAAAAAAAAAAGAAAAAAGAAATGTAAATGGTTTAAATTTATCAAAAGAGACATTTCCTTGAATGTGTTTCGTTGAAGACTTACTATGTAGTGTATCGGGAAAAAGCGCCTTGTAGGTTTATTGCTGTTGTATTAAAATGAGGAATGATGAGACTTAGAGTATTAAGTCCAGTGACACCAGGACCCTGGAAAGTACCACAGAGTTAAAATGGGGTGAGATTTTGAGAACTGAAGCCAGAGAAAGAAGTGTGGGGTTAAATGCTACAGCAGTAAGGTGTTTTTGATATTTTTATGTAGGCTTAACATAGTACATAGCAAAATGGCTGAGAGTGTCTGCTCAAGGAATTTCAGCCTGTTTGAATTCTACTTCATCACTTAGCATCCATGTAACTGTAGCAGGCTATTTGAGCACTTCTGATTTCCTCCTTTGTAAAATATGGGTATTATTGTTGATAACATTTTGATAATTGCAGTAAAGTGGTTGGCACAGAGTAAGTGCCCTATATGTAATTTTGGTTTATTTTAGGGTACTTTCATTATGAACACAACAGTTTTAGGAGCATTTATGTGGCAACATTGTACAGAATGAATTGGTAGCAGTAGAGCTTCCGTGAGTAGCTGAGCATTCCCACCAATGGGGAGGGTTCCTTTTCTCTAGCAGCCTGACCATCGTCTGTCATTATTTGATTTGTGGATGGCAGCCATTCTTTCTGGAGTAAGATGGAAACTCAGTGTTATTTTTGTTTGTTTTTTGTTTTGTATTTTAGAGAAGGGTCTACAGGGTGTTCAGGGTCTCACTACTAGATTGGACTCGTAGTGATCCACCAGTTTACATCCTCCCAAGAGCGGGGATTACAGGCACGCGCCACCACACCCAGTCTCAGTTGCCGTCTCAGCATGCCCTGGGAGTGGGGCCAGTATGGCAGTCCTGGGGATCCAACACCTGGCCTCTGCACCTGCTTGCAAGTGCTTTAATCCACTGAGTTATTTGGCCGGCCCTCTCAGTGTTCTTTTAATTGGCATTTCTCTAATGACCAGACGTGTTCAATTTTTTTCATGTATGTATTGGCCATTTGTACTAGTCTTCCAAGAAGTGCCTATTATTTCAGTTGCTCATTTTTTGATTGGTTCTGTTATTGAGATGGTAGCTTTCTACAGTTCATTGTATGTTCTAGATATTAGTCCTCCATCTGAGGAATAGTTAGCAATTTTTTCCCATTCTATAGGTTATCTCTTCTGTTGTTTCCTTTGCTTTGTAGAAGCTTTTTAATTTTATAAAATCCCATTTGTTAATTTGTAATGTTTCTGTGCAATTGGATTTTTCTCCCAAAATCCTTGCCTGTGCCTATGTTTTCAAGAGTTTTGCCTTTAGTTTATATTAAGAGGTTGTTGAGACTTGCTTTGTGGCCACACATCACATATGGGTATCGTAGTGAGTGTCCCAGGTGCTAATGAGGAGAAGGTGCGTCTTACAGTTCTGTTGAAGTCCTCAACTGTTACAATATTGGAATGTCTCTCTTCCTTTAGACTAGGTATTGTTTTAGGTAACTCCTCCAGCATTGCGTGTATATATATTTAAAAATATCTTTTCTACTTGTTGAGTTGGATTCTTTGTCACTATATAATGATCTTCGGTCTTTTCATAGTTTTTGACTTAGGCTATTTTGTCTGACGGCAATATAGCTACTGACTTTCAGTTTCTGCTTCTATTTGCATGCGCACCACCTCCATCTGTTTACTGTGCCCACTTGTGTCTTGTTGTAACCAATAAGTATGTTTCCTATAGACAACCAGTCATTGGAGCTTATTTTTTTAACATGCCCCAGATAGGACCATGATTTGGTGTCTTGCTGCTGGGTGGCTTGAGCCATTACCAGTACATGCATGACTGTCCCATTGGGCAGCTTTTTATTAATGTTATTAGTGAAGAAGACCAGTAAAAGTTATTAGGTCTATTTGTACCACCAGGGGTACAGGTCACCCAATGGGATGGTCGTAGATGTACCACCAGCTGTCCAAGCCAGTGAGAACATGTTAACCCTGAATCCAGACTGCTCTGTCTTTGAATGGAGTGGCCTGTGTATATTTAAGATCATTATTAATAGTTATAAACATGCTCCTATTTTTGTAGATACGTTATATATACTTTTTTCCCCTCTTGTTGTGCTTTGTGATTTGGTGTTTTTTCTATTTGGTAAGAGTGAAGGCTGGGATAGAGCGCACCTTGAATGGCACTGGGATCTGCACGGGGAGGGGGAGCTTGTGGCTGTGTCGGGGTCGCAGAGGCGTGGCTGTGAGGGCTGAGGGCCTGCCCCTCCATTCCGGCTCCGCCCCTGCGCTGCCCCTCCACCCCCTCAGCTTGCTCTTCTGCCCTGGTGTTGCTGCTTGGAGCCCGCTGATGTACATGTGACTTGGACTCAGCTGTTCTTCCTCTGAGCTCTGGCCACTGGGTATCTTGTTGAGCACAACAAAAGCTAGTGCAGTAACAGGAGCCCTGCTTCTGCTTTGTGTGCGTCGTGCACTTGTGTGTGTGGTGCTGTGTGTACAAGTTAGCAGTTGTAATTTGTGTTCATTTTAAGAAATTTTAAATTTCCCTTTTTTCTTTTACCTATTGGTCATTCAGGAGACGGATGTCTCATGTCCATCCAAGTATTTCTATAGTAACGCTAGTTCCTTTGGTTGATTTCTAGTCAATGTTGATTTTTTATAATTGATGATACATACGTTATTTGGACTTTTAAAAAAAAAAACTTGTTTAACCTGATAGTTATTATTCTCTTGCTTCTAGGATAAGCCTTCTTTTAGCTATTTTCTCCAAGGCTGGTCTGATAGTAATGAATTCTCAGTTTTTTTAACTTGGCAGGCCTTTTTTGCTCCCTTACATGGTTGGCAGTTTCGTGTATTTGTTCCAACGCTATGAATATATCCTCTCATTTTACTCAGACCTGTATGTTGGCGTTGCAGCAGAGCAATCTCCAGAGCTCTGTTCTTCTTGCAAAACTAAACTATGCCCGCGACACCACTCCTTCTGTATTCGTCTTCGCAGCCCTTGACAGCAGCCATCCTACCTGGTCCCTGTGCGTTGCACTCTTCAGTACATCATTTAAGTGGAATTACACACCACTTTCATAACTGGTTTATTTCATTGTGCATAATCTTCACCAGGTTCATGTCTACAGTAGTATCCATCACAGTTTCTTTCCTTTTTAAAGAAAAATACAGTGGTACCTTCATTCATGGATTTAATTCTTTCCGTCGTTCTTCCCATGGGATTTGTTCCATGAATTCTGGAACCAATTCACGTAGGTTACTTCTATCTTTTGACCTTTTTATACCGCAGTAATGCCCTAAAATAATACATGCTTTATTTAATTGAAGAACTAAAGTACCTCTGAAAAAAAAGAAATAATGCAAGACATGTAAGAAAAGAATCCTTTAATTTTTTGATCTGAAAATCTGTATTTTTTTCAGCTACCCCTCCCCCAACACACCATGTGGTCCCGGGGATTGCACCCCGGGTCCGCTCCCTGAGCTACATCTGCCCTTTGTATTGCTTTACTTTGACATTGGCCCCTCTTCAGTTGCCTAGGTGGGACTAACTGGCAGTATTCCTGCCTCAGTCTCCTGAAGTACAGGAGTTCTGAGATAATCGGCCCAGGCCCCACCCCTAGCTTACGTCATTTTATAAGTCCTTTCTCTGTACTGATCTTTTTTAAAAATAAAGGCTGTATGAATCTTATGACTCAGAGCTAAGCAAAAGTTTAACTTGCATGCATGATAACATTTCTACAGTCTAAGATTCACCTTGAATCTAACTCTTACTGAACATGAGTGACCTTCTAAGCTGTACTTCCTTAAATACACATGGTATGAATGGCAAAGGCTTCATTGTCACACTCTGAAGCTTGTCTTTATCTTTTGAAATATTTTGTCTGTAAAATAGGTTTTAGTAGGTCATGTAGGATTATAAAAGATGGCTGCTGTGTTAGTTATGATGTGTATGCTGTGCTTATTAGTGATTTCATGTGGAATTGACATGACAGTGAACTTAATTTTTCTCTTATTTCTCTTTAAATTGTAATGGAGTCCTTTTTTTCATAGTGTACAAATTCAGTAATGTTGAGGTCTTGTCCTAGCCCTAGTCTCCTACACAAGTGGATGGTGAATGGTTTATTTTTATTTTTTAATATACTTAGTACAGGGTCTCACTACACAGATCTGACTCTTAGTGATCCGCCTGTTTACAGCCTCTGAAGAGCTGGGATTACAGGTGTGCACCACCAAGCCCAGTCTCAATTGCCATCTCAGCGTTCTCCAGAGACAGGGCCAGCACGGCAGGCGAGACCATATTCTTAAGAGAAATAAATTGGACACACATTTAAGTATACCACCTCATTTCTCTGTTGTGAGAAACCAAAAGTGTAAATGAGAACAAAAATGCCTAACAGATATTGGGGAGTGGGAAGGAAATGTTCTAATGGGGAGCAGAACGGCGGGGGGAAGGAAGGGACAAAAAGGAAAAAAAAAAACGTAAATAGAGGGGAAGAGGGACTGCAGGGAGTGGAGGGAAATGGAGGGCAGAAAAGTCAAGATACATCCTTGCAGATCCAGTTCCCTGTGGTGAATGTTATCATTGTCTATATCTAAAATGTAACCCCCCCCCCCCAAGAGGATACTTTGGCTGTACCAAAGAAGTTAAATCTTAGTATAAATACTCTACAACTGCTTGGAGTGGTTCTGAATACATCAACCCAATTGTCTTTGGTTTTTTTTTTTTTTTTTTCTTTTTAACCTGAATTTGGACTCCAAGGCTCACCCCAAGAAGCTGCCTCCTTGAGGGAGGCTTTCCTGGCTTTTGCCCTTTTACCCATTTGGGGTTTTGCATACTATACTTCCATGTTCATTTGCAGTGCTTGTCCCTGTTGTGGAACTTTATTATCCATAACTCTCATGTGTTGTCTTTCTGCCTAGCATAAGTTTTTGTAGCTAAGGACTGCATTCTGACTTGGTATTGCCAATGATTGACCAGTAGCAGCTATTTGGTAGATGCTTGCTTGATGCAGTGGTTAAGGCAGACTGTCAGCTTGATGGGCTTGGGAGCCTCCCAGGGAGTCTGTGGGCACCATGGAGGGGTGACCTACTGCAGAGTAAGCCACTTCACTCCCCAGTATCATCTGCCGTGATGCTCCTGCCTTGGGCCCAGCCTGTTGCACACTGCACCCCTCAAACCGTAAGCCATGTTAAACCTCTCATCACCAGAATGGTAGCACATACCTGTAATCCCAGCATTCTGGGAAGTTGAAGCAGGAGAATCACAAGTTTAAATTTAGTCAGGAGAATTTGACAAGACCCTGTTTAAAAATCAAAACAACAAACAATAAAACACCAGGCTGGGAGTTAGTGTGAAGGCCCTGTCTTCCATCCCAGCACTGCAACAGAGCAGCAAAGAGAAAGCCTCACCACTGAACTACAAGTGCTGGGTATTGTGTCCCGGCAGTGGGGAAAGCTAGTACACTGAATGATAAAGTAACTAACCCTAATGAGAGAATAGAGAATGCAGTGGACATCTGCTGTCTTCTGTGACATCTCTGAAGAGTGGATGGTGAACAGAGAGTGTGTACTGTAAGGTGGAAGCTGGGTTCAAGTTCTCTATTATTTGCTTTTTAAAAACCTCTAAAATTAGCTTAAATTTGCTAAGGGCTTTAATTTCTCTCATTATAATTTTAATTTCAAAACAAACCCACCTTTGGAGTCTGGATTGGCCTTGGTAGTGAGAGCTTATCTCCTGCACACAGCTGCCCCGAGAGGCCCGAGTGTCAGCAGGGGCTGAGAGCTGGGAGCTGGGAGCTCTGTCATTAGCCAGGTGGCCTCTCCAGAGACCGGGGGCACCATGAAAGTGGATGGGGTGTCTCCAAGAAGGCGGTACATGCAGCCCATCTCTGCAGACTGAGCTGGAAAGGGCATGGCCTCATGTGCCTTAAATTCTGCCACCTGGGATAGTCACTAGGCCAGTATTTAGGGGTGAGGACAGAAGGCGTCTCAATAAAAGCGTCAAGGGGTTCAGGGTGTTTCTTAATACCATCACAGTTTTTGGTGTAAAGCACAGTTTCGTCATTTATCTACCACATTGTAGAGATTGATTTTGCTCCTCTGAAGTAATTAGATTAACCGTTTTCTGAGCCACTATTGTACTGTTAGAATTGTTTAGCTAATTTCCCCTTTCTGTATAACATTGATTTATTGTAGAATAAGTTATTTCCCAACAATATAACTAGGTAGTATTTAGGGTATGAAATTAGTATCTTATTGCTTCAAAAAAATAAGACATTAAAGAATTCGTATTTATACAATACTGGAAAATCAAGAGAACTCTCACAAAAAAGGTCCTACCATAATAAATATGAATTACAGAATGCCTGTGAAGTCCAGGAGCCTGCGCTATTGGAGATCACCCACAGCTGGGTCGGTGTCACGTTGGTTGGGCAACGCAGATACTGTTCAATCGTTGCGCTTTTTATTTTGCCTTTGTACCATGTATCTCAATATATTTTAGGATAAATTCTGTATTATACTACTTTATTTATAATTAAAAGAAATTCTGTGAGACCAGTAATTATTTTATCTTTGACACTTTTAAACCTGTGAAATTTGATTTCATCACGCACTAAACATTGTTTTGAGAAAATATGGTTGACTACTTTCTATGTATAGTGAATTCATTAGTTTTTTATTTTAAGAATTTTTACTGTAGAAAAATTCTTTCCAGGAAAAGTATTAATTCATTGTTTCTATCATTCAATTGTAATGAAATTAAAGAAACACTATATATATGTTCTTGAAATCATGATATTGATATTGTGAATTATGCCAACCTTTTTCCTATTATACTCCTGTAAAAAGCCTTTATATGATATTATATAAACTTAACTTTGGCCCTTTTAAAATTTCAGTGTCCTCTCACGTGGCAGAACAAATGGGAGGGCCCAGAAGACCCCTTACAGTACCTCCGTGGCCTGGTGGCTCGTGCCCTGGCTATTCAGGTAAGACGGCCGTGCCTCGTGATTACCGTGTAGCACTGACTGACTGCTGCGCTCTGGGCATGCGTATTAGAAGCCCAGCACTATACGAGCGCACAGCAGAAACCCCACAGACTACAGCTACTTAGGGTTCACTTCCTGTCTCCAGCCCCCAGTCAGCTCTCTTGCACTGGACTGCATTAAATCCGCATTAGGCCTACGGTGGGCACCGTGGGTCACACTGCCAACGAGCTACGTCCACCAGCAGATGCTGATGCTCTGCGGGCCTGTTGCAGCCCTCCCGCTTCCCAGCACGGGAGCAGAGTGCCATGGCACAGGTGTCAGCTGCTGCCTCCTCCTTATCCTTGGATGCTGCTTCCTTGCTTTAGTTGTAAATTAACACTTGGGCTCAGAGGTGGTTTCCAGAGGTCGCTTCCAGAGGTGGTTCATGTCTGCCAAAGTTCTTGTTGCCGTAACAACATTTGGCTTCTTTCGCTTTCTAAATAGCATTTTATGTCTGTTGCCCACTTCAAGAAGATTGATTCCGCACTAGTTCTTCCCTCTTCCGCCCGACTAAGCTGACTGTTCACAGGAATCAGCCTGGAATTGCTAGATCTAGCGATGTGGGATCACTCCTACTTGCATCTCAATAGCCCCCTTCACATCTATAGGTATAGAATGCACTCATTACCTAAATTTCAGCTTCACATAACCTTATTTCAGTCAAGTATTTAAAACACATATTAAACCTTTTAAAAGATCTAAGCAAAGGTAGAAAAAATATATATTTATAAGACCTGGGCCCAACTCATGTTAGATATTTATGTAAATTACATGGAATTTAGTAATAGTCATAACCTATGAGGTAGACATTATTGTTGATTCTTTAAAGATGGTAAAAATAAACCCCAAAATTAAGGAATAGTTTAAATAATAAAATAGAGAAGGCACATTGGAGTGCCCCCTTTTTTTAATGTATTTAGTACAGGGTCTACAGAGCCTCACTCCACAGATCAGACTTGTAGTGATTCTCCTGTTTTCAGCCTTTCAGGTGCTGGAGTTACATGTATCTGCCACAGGCCCAGGCTCAGTCGCGATCTCAGCATGCCCCAGGGGCAGGGCCAGCACAGCGGGCCGGGGATCAAACCCCAGTCCCTGTGCTCTACCGGAGCAGCACTGTAGTTTGATGAGCTATCTGCCTGGCCCTTGAAGTGCCCTTGGTATAATAACATGTCTGATGTTTCAATCATATGGTGCCTGTCAGCAGCATTTAAAAAAAACAATAGCATTTCCCTCCTGCACTCCCCTCCCCCTCCCCCAGCCCTCCCTCCTGCCCACTGTGGAACTCTTTTATACATTCACAGGTTCTCGGTCCACCTACACTTTGCTTTCTTATGTGTATGCTTTGCTCTGTTTTTTTCTCCCCGATCTCTAATACTAGATTCCTTGAGAGTAATGTTTCATCCTTTCTCTTTTACTTTGGGAGGTTTTATACGTCTTTGTATTCCTGGAAAAGAAAATTCTTCATTTTGCTAACTCTCCTCATCTTTACAGTTTTTATACAGGCATTACTAAGTGCTCATTAACAATATGAGCACTAATTAAAAGACTTTTAAAAACACATTTTTGAAATCTGTGTGTGGTTGTAAAATATTGGGCATCCTTGTCTTTACATTATACTCAGCTAGCCAGGCGTGATGGCTCATGCCTGTAGTCCTCGGGAGGCTGAGGCAGGAGGATCATAGCAAGTTCAAGACCAGCCTGGGTTACAGGGTGAGCCCAAGGCCAGCCTGATCTGTATAGCAAGACCCTGTCTCAGAAAGACACACACACACAAAATCATACTTAGCTAGAAGGAAAACTTTGTGTCTTATCTATATATCTATACGTGTGTGTGTGTGTGTGTGTGTGTGTGTGTGTATACATATTCTATATTTATTTACCTTCTCTATGTACCAGTCCTCATTCCAAGTGCTAGAAATACCTGGTAGAATTGCAATATGAAATTCCTGCTAACAAGAATTACCCTATTTGAGTGAAGGATATAGATAGTATATTATAACTACAATTACAAAATAAATTTTGGGCAAAATCCTGAAATCCAAGATTAATATACAGCCGAGACTTTAGATTATCATCATCCTAGCATGATGATCATCATAATTTTATGATCATCCATAAAATTTTAGGCATATAACTTATTACTATGGCTGTGGTTATTACAAAATTTTAATAGTCAAATTTAATAGAGGGCCACTAGTTTCTCAGCACTTTCAGCAGATGAATCCTTCCTAGGGTCAGCAGTCCTGTGCATCTGCAGAGTTAAGCAGTAATTGGTGGTCGGCAGCTTTATAGAAGCGGCCTTACAAGACACCGTTTGTACTGCTTTCCAAAGGTAAAGCTTGCTTGTAGAAATCTGACAGCATAGCAACATAACACAACTGGCTTTCAAGAGAACGAAGTCTTTACTGAATTTCTGTCTGTATTGTAGCCTATCTCATACACATGCCAATTTTCACGGCTTCTTATGGTAGCATGATGAGAGGTTCTTACAGCAAAAGTACTTCAAGACAAATTTAGTTTCTTGAAGAAGCAAGTAGAAACTAAGTTTGCCAGGTGAGTAGCCAGGAATTGTTAGTAATATTTTCTCTCTGGTGTACTTTCATTCGCAAAACAGTGTTTCCAGTATTCTGTTATTTCATGGAACCCTTTTTTCTTTGCCATTTACTGGCTTTTATTAAATATGCCTGTACATTGTTCAATAGTACATAGCAGAGCAGCTGCAGGCCGTGTTGTGTTCTATAGTTTTGCTCCTCGTAAGGAACCGCCGAGGTCCTCAAGTGCCTGCCGCCAAGCAGGCCCGCGCACTGTGGAGGGTGCGCAGAGCCTGCCTGCGCTCCTGCGCTCCACCTCGTTTGTGTTTATCCTGAGAACTGCAGAGTGCCGGCTCGTTCTGTCCTGTGACACTCCTCACAGTGACTTCAGTTTGTCGTCTGTTTACAGCTGGAAAGCTCTTTGCCCGCAAAGAAGCCTCTTTTGGCTTCACTGTTAATTTATATATTATCACACAAAGGGCATTTAGCCGTGCATGTGTATCTGTCTATTGTACACAGTATTGAAGTAGGCCATTGAGTAGTCCATTTAAAAATAACAAAACTATGAATCTTTTCGTACAATACACATAATTTAGGAAAATATTT